AAACTGCTTTACAATGGGCTTTTTGTGAAGAGCTGTTGTAGCCATCCTAAAATCCTCACTGATAACTGAAATGTCTGCTCCGGTGTCAACAAAAGCATGCACAACAGTGTCCTCAATCAAAACTGACACATATCTCTTTGACACATCCACTTCAGATAAACTGTCTCTGGTAAAGTCAATAGGTAGGGCATTACTGTCTTTATGGGCCTTGGTAAAGTTTGGCAATTGACCCTCATTGTCAAGTACTTGTAGTTTACCTTGTTCGATCCAGTGTGAGAAGGTGAATTGGAACCGTACATGTCCAGGACTTTGAGAGCAGTGAGACTGATGTCTGTCCTCACGGCGGTCAGGAGAGTGGCCACGCTGTGAGTAGTCTCTGGATGATGGGCTGTAGCCCCGTGCATGACGCTCCGAAGATGCAGAACGACTGTGAGAATCCCCTCTGTCGTACTGGTCCCTTCCGTGCCTTGAAGGTCTGTAGCCATCACGAGTGGAGTATCGGTCATAGGAAGAATCTCTGTAGTTATTCCTTTCTGGTGAATAGTAATGGCTGCGGCCTTGCCCACTGTCAGGAGTCGAGCTTCGCTGACGATATCTGTAGTCACGTCGTGTGTCCTGTCGCCGCTGTTGCACCTCCAGCTGTAACTGCTCAACCTTGTCTGAAAGCGTCTCCAGTGCTCTCTGCATTTTTCTGAGATCATCTGAGGTTGCAGAGTGGACACCCAGAGAAGTACAAAATGCAGGAAGGTGAGTGGGTACCAAGGGAGAGATAGCAGGTGAGGTAGGTGTCTGAGAAAAATGCTGCAGAGAGTTTGAAGATGCAAACACCCTGCTAGCTTGATGGGCAGTCTCAATCTGTATTGCGAACTGAAGCGCATCATCCAGTGTTTTTACACCTTGTTCATGACAACGCAGCCTCACCAGGCATGCGAGTGCGTGCATTGACATAACTTTGAAATGTAGACAGATAAGCAGTCTGTCCAAAAACAGCTTTGAGTTTATCTTTAGCAGCGGTATAGTCCGATTTTGTTGCATCAGATAAGCTATCCCAGTAACTGAAAACAGCACCCCCTAGGCGTGTGGGCAGCAGTTTAACCAAACTGTCTTCATCATAATCTGGAATAACCTCTACATACACTTCAAAACGTCTGCACCACTTTGAAAAGTCTTCTTTGCCATCTCCCATGAAAGGGCAGTTCATTCCAAAAGTTATTTTGAGTGACCATGGTTAATTCCAGAAACCACGTTTTTAATTTATTTATTTTTTGTAATTTTTTGTGTGTAAAGTTCAGAAGAGGGTTTTGACAATTACCAGTCTTAGCTTGATGTGCTAGGCAAGTCCATCTTAAGGTTATAGTATCCAGAGATGTGAACAACCTTTCCATACATGCGTCCCGCGCAAACAAGTTCACAAGCAGGCCTCCAACAAGTAGACTGATCATCCAGGGAGAGCAGGAAAAAAAATAATTGTGCACTTTGCCAGTCTCTGTTACTCACATATGTTGTCCTCTGATGTTGTCTTGGTGAGTAAATGTCCAACAAATGCTGTTTTATTCCACCAGTATCCAACTGAGTCATCACACGCCCGCGACCGTGGAACACACACAACAACCACGGTCAAAGATCACCTTCTCATATCACTCCGCCAACCTTGGCCGGTACTAACTTTTCAGGCAAGGTGTACCATGTAATGTAGTTCCGGTTAAAGGTCAGAAACAAAATACAACATATGTATATAGTTAACATTAATTAAATTATGCAACTTATTTCCGTAAATGGAGTCATCTATAAAATAAATCTTAACAAAATAAATCTCATCTTACAGCAGCATAGATTGTCAGAACACCGGCATCAGTTCAACGTTCAGTCCTGATGGTAAGATGTGGAACAATAATGTTGTGTGGTTGTGGACTTGTGAGTAACTTATACCATCTGCTAGGTTATGGTCGCAGTCTGAAGCGGCTTTGATTTGGATCACACTACCTTGTTTATTACGACCCCGTCCAAATTTCACTTCTCTTCTTACTTCTAATAAACCAGAAGACTACTCGGAGACTGTATATTACTATTAATATTATTAGTCCCTCTTCTTCTTCTTTGCACGTATTCAATGTAGTGACGGCCGTCTACACTACCGGAATTACACAAGCAGAAGAAGAACGCCGTGATGACGAAACGCACTCTGTAGGGCTGTTTGTTCGTTGTCGGCTATGGTAGAAACATGATGACAAAATACAGCGACCTCCATAGCAGGCAGGGGGTGCCCGCAGTTATGTAGATATAAATGTCGGTTCATTATGTAAGGTCTTTATACACCACTGAAAACACAGTTATGGATCTTATATTGCATTTCTGTCAATAGATCCTCAGAAATATTACACATTGAACCTTTAAATCACAGCAGTCATAAGATGTACAGTTTTAGCCGTAACTTGTAAAGTACTGCTCCATTTATATAAAAAAAAATGGGCTCACTGTAGTTTAGAATGAATCTTTTGACAGTAGTCACATGACAGTCACACTGTCAACAGATCGTTCAAGGTTCAAATCGTTGATCCTTCCAGGAATGGGTTATTCCGGCTTTAATCCGGCTTTATAACCTAAAATTGCACATCAAATGACATGACTGATCTGGCAGAAATTTGTCCAGATTCTAAAATAGGCAGGGGTGACCAATTTGGGGCTAACAACTGACTAAATCCGTACATTGTTTCCCTGGCTCTAGTCAGGGTAAGGATCATGTTTAATTTTGGGTTATGATCTGTGTTAAGGACGACTGTGTTTGAAGGAGGAGACTCTTCTGTAATCAGTAAAACAACAGCAACAAGCAAGATATTCAACTCAGAGATGACAATTATTGTAACTGTGTCACAGAAATAACAGACCAGCATGCTGATTTAAAGAGGCGGTATTATGCTCATTTTCAGGTTCAAAATCTTAATTAGGGGTTGTACCAGAACAGGTTTACATGGTTTAATTTTCAATTTCCCCCTATGTGTTGTACGCTCAGCTCTTGAGCTACAGAGTGATGCATCTTACTTGTACAAAATCTTTGTTGGGAGTTGCACATGCGCAGTTCCCAGGTAAGGACTACTAGCCAATCAGAAGCAGAGAAGGGCGGGTCGTAAGAAACAAGGTAGTGTGATCCAAATCAAAGCCGCTTCAGACTGCGACCGTAACCTAGCAGGAGAAGTCCATAACACCATTGTTCCACATCTTACCATCAGGACTGAACGTTGAACTGTTGCCGGTGTTCTGACCATCTCTGCTGCCTTGCCGAAAAATGCTACCATAGCGCAAATCGATAGACTGGACTCTACTCGGCCCTGCTCCGTTTTCCATTGCAGATAGTACCCAGAGATAGTACGTAGCTTGTCGTCATAGCGACGCCACACACAACTGCTGCGACGTAATGTTCAATGCGACACACACACCAGCGATGCACACAGCTTTCTCTTTTTTAAGTTAAAACGTTTCTACATTCCTCAGAATGTAAAGACAGATAAGCGGTATGAAAAGCTTCCAGCTGTGTTTTCCTCTGCCGTTGTTGCTGCAGCGGTCTGTGTGACGGCGGGAGCAGAGGGCTCTGTGAGCGGGCGGCTGGCCGGCCTCACACGCTCCTCCCGCCGGTCACAGCAGGCTTCCCCCGCAGCCACTCGCGGAGCTCCTCAACTCCGAAAATATTCAAGCACATTTTTGTCTAAAACTGTCAATATTGGAAATCTACACAGCTGATTTCTCACCTCAAAACTTCTCAGAAGTGGATTTAGTGATGAAATTTCATACGAAAACTGTAAAATACAAAACTTTCTGTTGCTGGCCTCTGTCTGGTGCACGCAATGATGATGCAGTGAATAGTGAATATTCTCTCTGACCAATCAGCAGTCTGTCGTGTTTTCACGTTACATTTTAGTATCCCTCAGCTCGCTTGGAACCTCGAGGTGAGGTGATATGAAAAAAACTACCTGGAAGCAGGTACAGGTACAACATTTCTACAATGGAAAACCAAACAAAGGCGAGTCGAGCCAAAGGGCCTCCACTCAGACTAGCTTGGTTTGAGGGCGTGCCTGACCCCGCGAGCCGCTTGGCGAGCATTATGATGCATTTTCATTGTGACGTCACAAGTAAAGGAAGTGAAGGGCTGGACTACAAACGAGCTGTTTTCAAGCAGTTCAGAGCAGAGTTTTCTGTGGGAGATGGGAACTCCCTTAGGGCTGGACTTTGGGCTTTTTCACTTTGCAAACCTGTTACATGCACAAAAAAGATATATAACTCAATAAAGGAGAGGGGAAAAGCCAAAAAGCATCATACCACCTCTTTAAGAAAGCCTGACAAAGCGTCAGGATTGGACGCCCTGAAATGAGACGGGGCTGGCTGCACCGCGCGCTCAATTTTAATCTGTTGCATAAATATTAGCTGCTAGCGCCGTAGCTGCTGTAGCTTCAGCCATTTTTCTGCTCTAAGAGTCATGTGGATGCGTGACTGCGGTAAATAAATAAATAAATAAGTAGTGTGATGAATGTATCCAAATATAGAGGAGTAAAAGTTATGATTTCTTTCTTAAAAACTATTCAAGGAAGAGTAAATATTTGATGCATTGAAACTACTCTGATGAGCACAATTTACTCAAAAAAGTTATTTGAGTAGCCTACATGTAAAGGAGTAAATGTAACTCGTTACTACCCACCACTGCAGTGCATATTCATAACAAAAGTTATCTCATTGCACTTTTCATATAGAGCAGGTCTGGACCGTACTCTTTGTAATATCATTTACAGAGACCCAACAATTCCTATAATGAGCAAGCACTTGGCACACAGGCAGGCAGAAACCTCGAGAAGAACCGATACTAGGGGTATCTGCCTAACCAGTTGTGGGTGAGGGAGAGAGAGAGAGAGAGAGAGAGAGAGAGAGAGAGAGAGAGAGAGAGAGCGGGGGGGGGGGTGGGGAACCTTTTACATATGCTGAGAATTTGGAATATTTGTTTTGATATGAATGCATGTCACTACAAGCAGAGAAACACAATGTCACTCCCACACAGAGGAAGTTGTGTATTATGCTGCATTTGTCCCGCCTCCTGAGTTCCTTGGGGGATGGGTCAGATTGTTTTCCTGCAACAGATCCAGACTTGCTTCACTTCTGCAGAGTCACAGGACGTAAGTTGAGCTGTTGAACTGTAACTGATTTGTACATTTACAATAGATCATTTATACATTTTTGTCTTCTTGAGCGTGTTGTTGAAACCGGACTTGTTTTTAAACCCACAGGCACAGTTATAAACTGAACAGAATAATAAACTAACTTCTATCTCTTCCTCACTGTTTAGCTGTAAACCAACAGAGATGGCAGCGCTGATGGAAGACGAGGTATTTATGGCTTTCACCACCTATGCTGCTTTAGTCATTCTGAAGATGCTGCTGATGGCGCCCTTGACTTCTTTTTATCGCTTTACGAGAGGGGTAGGTAACACTAATAGTGTCTAAATCTGTTTAAACAAGAAATGTCTGTTTTACACACGTTTTCATGATTGTATGTGCAGGGTAGCCTATGTGCAGGGTAGGATTATATGTACACACTACATAAGGTCCCAGGATGTGTTTAGCCTAACTTAGTATCCTAACAACTTAACATCCTAAAAGCCTGTAAGGCTTTCATCCTGATAAACAGGACTCCAAAACCTAACTATCTTACAAACCCACCATGGATAGCGCTCTACAATCCTACAATCAGAATAAAAGGTCATGTACACAGTTTAACTGAGGTACAATTCAGCTTTAAAGGAGAATAACTGAAATCACAACTGAAATTCAACTTAATTAACTGTTAACTTACTTAATTAGACTTAATTAAAATTTTAACTGATTAGTTTTTCCATATTCTCTTTATGCATTTCTTTTTCTACATTATAATATGGAACTTTCAACCTGACTCTGGTATACAGAGGCAGAAGCAGACTACAGACTGATGTATTATCTTTCTCATTTAGGCTTTCGCAAATGAGGAAGATGTGGGCAGAAAGTCTGAAGAGGAGAAGAAGAAGCTGCTGAGAACCCATCCAGATGTAGAGCGAGTTCGAAGGTGAGATGATCTTGCCATGAAATGAAGACGCTACAGCCATTTACACCTAAAGTTATAATTGATATACTGGTATTTCATCAGAAAACATTATCAGAAATGTTGTGTGGGCCACTAGTTATAGTCCAACAAGTCAGTAAGAGAGATCTATTTATTTTTCTTTACTTATATGGATTTTTAAATTGTAGTAACACCTGTCATTTAGCACCATTTTTTAAAATTACATTTAACAATTTGTTTTTTTACAATTTACATGCAAAAAAACCTCCACTAATTTGATGTTGTCCACTGAATGATATCCCTATCCCTGCATTTAGCTCAGTCGAAATGGTCAGATCCTAGAAAAGAATGAGAAATCTAGTTTAGTTTATATTATAAAGGATAAGAATACTAAATATTGACTAATAGTACAAATCATCAAATCGATCAAACCGTGAGTCACAGTGCCTCTCACCTAGTGTGTGCTTGGCTCCAGACCCCTTTAAACACACAGATAAGCAGGTTTAGAAAATGGATGGATGAACGGATTATATAGTCATACGTTCTGTTGTAAACTCCTTACACTATATACCACGTTGTAATATGTTAATCAATGCATTAGTCATGTTGCACGTTCTAGTCAAAGGGTATGTTGTGTGTTTTTGAACTAATAATAAGCTTAATTTCATTTTGTTTCTGTTCTCAAGGTGTCACCAGAATGACCTAGAGAACATTATTCCCTTTGTGGTGATTGGCCTACTCTACAGTCTGACTAGACCTGAGCTTTCATCTGCTCTGCTTCACTTCCGCGTCTTTGCCTGCTCTCGGTTCTTCCACACCATCGCTTATGTTTGCGGTCTGCCTCAGCCCAGTAGGGGTTTGTCCTGGATACTGGGCATGCTGGTCACCTTCTCCATGGCTTACAGGCTGCTCAGCACAGTCCTCTTCCTTTAGAGATGATACAGAACCAGTAGACCATGACCTCTTCTCCATAAGCTCATGTTTCAACATGAAACCTGAATCTGTTTTATACTTCACCCTTTCTGCAGCTATGTGCTTGATTCATAAATGTTCTTTGCATTCCCTTTGAAAATGTATTTTAATAAACTTTTCAATCAACTTTGTGTTTGGCTGATTACTTCTCAAGGAAATGGAAGAGATACCAAAACTCACATGCAACTATAAATTAGAAGAAAATGTACTCAAGTAAAGTAGAGCTGTTAAATCTAGCAATGTGACAGATAATCATTCATGTAAAACATTTAAAGAGTAAAATCCAATCAAACTTCAAATGTACACAGCTCTGGTATGAATTATGTCCAAATTCAATTTGAAATGGTTGAAATGTAGGTTGTACAGCAACGCTTAACAGTAAGTGTTATTTCAGGTCAGGGTCCCTCCCACAGATAACACAACTGCAGGGCAAATTCCAGGCATTTATGACTTGTTTCTGCTGTTCACAGTGACTGTGCAAAAAAACTAGGTTATATCCACATGCTGCATGTTCTAAACTTCAAAAGTACACACCCCACAATCTTCTTGCTTATGCTAGAATAAATTTGTCTTTATTATACATCGGGTATAATATGGTTAGGTATTGATTAAATTAATTGATCAACTTTGGGAAATAAATAGCTTTACAGTTTGTCTAACTTCATGTTGGACCACAATGACAACTAAAATATCTCTGTGCTAAGGGATTACTCTTCATTTATGCTTCATCTATGTTGCTGTGTTGGTCCCTGTTTAAATATCTATAGGGGGTGTGGGGCTGGGGCCTGTGGTGGTTTTCGGGGGAGACAACAGGGGCCATTGCCCATGTAACACAGACCTTGGACTCCCCTATGGCCCCCCTCTGAACGAAAAGTCTACAATAATCATAGTAATATATTGTCCTTGCGACGATATGGCGCTAATGCGAATGTGTCTCAACTTGTCGGATCCTTTAGGACGTTACACAGCCACTGTCCGTTGCCAAGGTAGTTATCCCTGATAGAAAGTGTGGGAGCGTGCGTGCATTCCACAGTGAAGGCGGATTTTCGACTTCACAAAAGTAAATGAAAAATATAACGTGGATTGTTTCATCTATCATATTAGTATTGTTTTATCAACAAGGTTTTTGCAGAGCAAGCTAGCACATGGAGTATAAGAATGCTTTTATAGGCTAACGTTAACGCTAGGTGTTATTGAACTTCGTATCATTCATTGCACTGTCTAAACAAAATGAGCAGTTTCAGTTTTCCTCGTAAAGCAAACATTTATTTCCACGGAGTCGATCACTTAGTTGTCCATGTTACAGTTTGGAAGCTAGATCCAGACAGACTGTCACATTTTTCAACTAAACTGCTCCTACAAATATCTACGCCATCGATACTGTAAAATCAAGATCACTGTAATCAGTTTAACACATTGCTCGCCTAAATGTTACATCTACTTGACTCGAAATGTCCATTAAACTGAATGCAGCATTGTAGACAATATTTTGTCCTTGTAATCCAGGTTTCCATTGCATGTGTGACCTCTGTGAGATGTCTCTGATGTGATATAATCTCTTGGAGCCTGTCAGGTTTACGGTAACAGCAGGTTTATTCCACATCTGCATTCATGACAAAGGACAACAGTGTTGAACAGTCATCTCATGTGGACAAACAGCGCATGCTCTGTCTGGAAAAACGGCATCATGTTAAAGTTAGCTAGCTATACTGGAGAGATGTTCCACTGGCTATAAAACACATAAACTGATGGTTGACTTCATAAAAACATGGCGATAATCAACAACACATAATGTTCAACCAAAGAAATCTATCTTAACATGTATGTGCTTCTCAAGTAAGTTAGCATTGTTTAGTCCATGGACATTCACAGACACGTTACCTAAGGGGAAATCCTCCGTTACTTTGAGGATTATCCATAATCCTTTGTCATTACTAGCATTCGCTGCAGGTACAACTTCATGACCTAACCCTAACCCTCTTACACATGGATAGCCTTTGGATATTGTTGGAAATTGTTCTCAATCCCCCTACTTAAAGGGTAAATTATTACAGGACTATAGGACTGCTCCCCAGTCCTGTGATGACTGCATGGATTTCCTCAACAACCTCAACAATTACTTTGGTAGGTTTGAAGCACAGAATACCACACCAGCGAGGAAAACCACCCCACAGGAAGAGACTAGTAAAGGACCACATCTCATCTGCCCTCCCCCCTTCACTGGACCCATTTCAGTTTGCCTACCGCCCAAACCGCTCTACTGGGGATGCCATATCCACCACGCTACACTTTAGCCTGTAACACCTGGAGAACAAGAACTCTCTTGTGCGGATGCTGTTTGTTGATTTCAGCTCGGCATTCAACACCATAATCCCCCAGCATCTGGTCAACAAGCTGGGCTCAGACGCACTGGGCATTGGTTCACCTCTGTGTAACTGGATATTCACACAGACAGGCCTCAGTTTGTGTGGGTAGGCAACAACTCATCCACCATCATCTCATTGAGCACTGGCTCCCCGCAGGGATGTGTTCTCAGCCCTCTTCTCTTCACACTGATGACTCATGACTGTTGTGCAAAGTCCAGCACCAATCACATCACCATAAGCCCAGATTATGCAGAACTGATCTAAATCCTTCATTTCTTTGTAATAATTAAAATCAATCATTCTGGCTTTCACCATCCTAGTAAACAGTAATTTTACATCAACATCCACTGAGTCATCAACCTTTCTTTTTCTGCTTACATAAATGGCCATCTTTGTTTGTCCCAAGATAAAGTTCACAAGTTGACATTTGTATTTTGCAGACTGTTTATATTTAAAACCAAGAATAAACATCTGCTTGGAGAAAAACTCTCCTACCTTTCTGATTAAACTCTCCAACAGCAGAAACAGTGGAACCAGACGCACACACTCCGAGACACTGTTTCTTTGTAAGGACAAAAAGGACATGTATTGCATGAACCTCGATTAATGATGGAGAGGACAGCATTGACTGCTACTATCCCATGTAAAATTCTCCACTGTAAATCGGCTACTTTCTTTGTTAGAGGTGGCTTATATAGACTCAGTGTTTCCTCTATATGCATTCAGCAGCGGCGCACCATTGCTGCTGAATCACGACCGCCACTACTAAATGTTCCCACGATCATCAAACTATGCGCTACAAATGTTTTCACTCGCACACTTTGCGACACTCAATGCTCGGCTCGCTTCCTCTCCATGTGACAGATGGTGTTATAAGAGCAGCGTAACTCTGAATCGGGAGGTGCGTAGTGAGTGTTTGATTGTCCGAGCGGCAGAAAGTGACGGTGAACGTGAGTGGAGGAAAATATTCTGGCAGTAAATGTACGGTGTCTGTTACAGTGTGTTAGCTTCTGAAGACCAACAAAATTCTGTTGTTTCTCACCTGCTGGAAAAGTGAAGCCAGTTAGCGCTAAGTTAGCTAACATCTCCCCTCCCCAGGAAAACTTCAACAGCAGCTACATAGATGCTATGTAACTTAACATCAACGTTAGCTCAATTTATTACTATCTACTTGTCCAATGTTGAGAACATCAGGTACAAACTTAGACTAAACTGACGTGGCCTGCAGCTCTGTCCTGTACAGACTGATTCAATTATTTTCCAGTTTTCAGTCTGAAAAAGTGGTTTTGGTGCTGACTGGAGGTTAGTAAAGCTAATTAGTGATGCAAACTAGTCCTTTTAAGCTCATGAGGAGACGTTTCGTTTTGGATTTTAATGTGCAAATAAAACACACCTCAGAAGGGAGGAGGTTTCTCATGCTGCCTATTTTTTCTGTTAATGTCTACAGATAAATGTTAGAAGCTGTAAAATGAAGACACAAAAGTCAAACATGAACAGTTGTATCTATAATAATTCTGAGATCATATTAACAGGGTTTTCCTGCCGCTAAGGCTTAGGGGTGATGCCCGAAACATGCTGTGCCATCATTGTAAAATCACTGTGGAACAACAGAACCAACCAAATTACTTTCCCCAGATCTAAAGGTTGTAGTTCCTCCAGTAGACTGATCTTTGGGTGTTGTTTATTTATTATCTGCTCTAGCTTTTCCAACTATTTGTTCAGAGATATGGTGAAAATAATGGCCCAATATGATGTGAAATTACATATTTTTCATTGGAAAACATAAAATTTTCTTGGGAGAGAACGCCCAAACCCCCCAACCAACACCAAAACATTCATCTAAAGCTCACATTAAAACACTGCAGTTTTAAGCTATTCTAAGGTGCATTGCATGCTCGTGGACACAAGAGCAATGCTGCTGAGACATGTTGTGGGGGGTGGTACTGTTTGTCCTCCCCCGCTGCTTAAAAAAATTAAAATCCTAGAGGAAACACTGTAGACTTGCCAAGATGTGTCAACCCTGTTATGCAGTTTCTTGTTAAGACATTTAACCAACATTCTGACAGATCTTATTCCCAGAGCATCTGCTAGTGCAGCTGAATTGTCCAAAACAGGTCCAGCAATGTTTACTACTAAAGATCCAAAGGTTAGAATTTTAGCTCTGCAGAACACCTCTGTAAATGCTGATCCTGCCCAGCAGGGGGTGTCTAAGTGTCCTCCATGCCCCACAGGCTCCTGCAACAACCAGTACAAAGAGTTTTCTTGCACTGTTGTCTCCTTCACCAACATTTTCCACACTGTGAAAACTCCACAGTCGAAAACTGGCTTTAAATCCATCAGAAACAGAGAATCATGTAATCCCAGGCCATGAAACTGCTGCTGAACTATACAGTATGTGCCAAAGGTCTCCATACCAAGTCTTTAGGGCCATACAGAAGTCTCTGAATAAACTGAAGGTGGAAAGCAGCACCTCTACTGGCCAAATGTACGAGTCCTTGTCCTCCCTCTTCTTTTGGAAGAAAAAGAACAGCCTGAGGAATCCACTGCAGTTTATCCCAAAGGAATCAACCAAAGCAGCTTGAATTTGTGAGAGCAAGTTAGAAGGGGGGTCCACACATGTTAATTTGTACCATAATGAGGAGGACACTAAATTGCTAAGTGCAAGTGTCCTCCCTCTACAAGACATGCTTGGTAAAAGCCATTTCCATTTTTTGAGCCGACCCTCTATTTTTTCTAAAACATTTTCACAGTTCTTTTCTAG